TTCTCTTGAAATAAAAAGAAAGAAAAGAATATTAGGCAAAGGATTCCTTTAAGGGATTTATCTCCCTTCTCCCTTTTTTTTTTTTTTTGAAAGATTTATTTATTGGCCCTCCCTGGTGGCGCAGCGGGTTAAAGCACTGCACTGAGAAGCTAAAGCCACTTATGGCTTTACCTCATGAGTTCGATTCCCGCCTGCCCCGGAGGAGTCCACATGGCGTGGCAGACCTCTCCTGACCTGCCCGCTGCTCCCCTCAGCAGTGTACTTCGTCGATCTGCCTGTTCTGCTCCCCACTCTGTCTCTGGTGAATCCTCTCGCCCTCCGCATCTCTGGCCTGTACCCCAGTTCTGTATGAATAAATAAATAAATCTTTAAAAAAAAAAAGATTTATTTATTTGTACATACAGAACTGGGGTATAGGCCAGAGGCTCAGGGGCGGCAAGAGGCTTCACCAGAGACAGAGTGGGGAACAGAACAGACAGATTGAAGAAGTACATTGCTGAGGGGAGCAGCGGGCGGGTCAGGAGAGGTCTGCCGTGCCATGTGGTCACCTCCGGGTCAGGCAGGAATCAAACTCATGCCAAAGTGGCTTTAGCTTCTCAGTGCTGCACTTGAACCCACTGCACCACCAGGGAGGGCCATTTTTTTTTTTTTTTTAGTTATTTTATAAAAAATTTGTATAAGTTGAGTTACACTTTTATTATTTTACTGTTCTCATAGAAATGGCAGAAGTAGAGAATATTATTTAATCTCTCAAAAAGGGCATAGGGAGAGAATGTTTGAGGTTAAATTCCTGGACTCTATTTTGGAGTAAAATGTTGTCATAGGATCCAAATTTCAATTCTGAGGATAAAGATGTCTCTTGTAAAGGTGAGGCCCAGGGGAAGATAAAGGGCACTTAAAATCTATTTTAAATGTTAATGTGTCCCATCCAGATGTCAGTAATGTAACTTTGTCACATTAACCAGTTTTTTTTTGAACAGCAGGAGATTTTAGGGAATAAGGGTAAAATACGTTACAAAAGGAATTTTCTCCTGTTTATTAATATATGAGTCAATCTGTTCTAACAGATACTTTAAAGACTACTGTGGCTGTCCTTTGGTAAAATATCCGTAAGAAATTCCTTTATTGTCAGTTTTGTATATAAGATATGAACATTTTAACTTCTGAAGGTTTACTATAAAGATTGGTGTTTTGTATTAGCATAACTTGATGAAATGTCTCAGTGTCTTTTCAGTGGGCACCATTTGGGCCCCAGATGTCTTGTCAAACTTACTTGTAAACCTTCTAACATCTGAGTAACTCTAACTGGATAATGAGTCTTTACATAAACAATTGTGTTGAGAGTCTTTTTCTATTTTTCCACTAATATATGCACATTTGGAATGTCATATTCATTTTTACTTTACTGAGGTAGTTTAAAAACGATAGAACTCACAATAATTTTCAAATTTATTATTTTTAATCTGCATTTGCTAATAATGAACTACTAATAGAAAATACTAATTCAAAAGTAATGATGTTGAAAAAACGCATGCCATCTTGTTAGTTCCTTCTCATGAGCATCAAGACTAACACTGATGGTTGCAGTCTTTAATTTCTAAAATTGTTTGGCTTAAAGGATTTACATCTCTGAATTAGGTAGGGAATTTGCAATTTAATAAAAAGGTAAAGACAAGCCTTTAAAAAGCAATTCATAAGTTTAAAAAACTTCATTCATGTTTACTTATGATTTTTAATAATTCAGTAGATCAGATATTAAGTTTAACCATCAAAACTCCATAGAAAATGTAAAAGACCTATGTGTAGGTATAAAAAAATTTCTGCACATGTAAAGATAAAAACTTGCTTAACTTATACAGAATAGTTATCATCAGAAAGATCTCAAATTGATATTTGTACATTTGTGTTCCTGACAGTCTTAAAACAGCCAAAATATGGAAGCAACCCAGTGTCCATTAACAGAGGAATAGATATACAAAAAGAAACATGCATGCAAAGAAATACCATGTAGAGAATAAGACCACATGAAAGAATTCTTGTTTTAACAACATAGATGAACTTTAAGGATTTTTTTTTTAAAGATTTATTTATTTGTACATACAGAACTGGGGTACAGGCCAGAGGCTCAGGGGTGGTGAGAGGCTTCACCAGAGACAGAGTG